ATTAATAAAAAATTTTTTGCTGTCACTTTGTAGAGGACTGTCAATTAGGATTTAAAAAAAACACATTTCTTAACTAATAATTTAAACAATAGGTATATTAAAAAAACGATTATAAACAATTAAAAGTTATTATTAAGAAACATTTTTTTTTAAAAATCATAATTGGCAATTGTCTAGAAAGTTGTAAAAGAAAAATTTGAAAAAAAAATGAAATACTCCATTTTTTTATAAAAAAATTATAAACAAATAGAGGAAAAATTTTTTTTTTTATTTATAAATGTCTTTTCTCGACATTAAAACAGTAATATAATAAATTAAAAAAAAAATATTATAAAAAATTAACATTTTTTAAACTTTTATGATGCTATTTTGTTTTATATGTATATAAAAAGAGCTCCACGAAGAAAAAAAAATGTACGGTAAATATTTAATATTTTTATCAATTTGTAATGATGAGAGAAATTCTAAAAATTTTGTTAATTAACAATAACCTACTTTGTTGGAAAATTAATTTTTATGTAAAATTCCAACGGCAATGAATTCTTCTAAGTGTTTAAAATACACCGTAATTTTTTTAAATTTTTGAATTTAATTTTATAAACTTAAAAAAATTATTTTATGTAACGTATTCGGTTCGACGCCGTGCGCGCAACCTAAAAATGGCGCGTGGAAGGCTACTTTGAGCGTTAAATTATAAATAATGTAGGTACAGTTCCGGGCAAATTTCCTCCTCTTTAAGGATCTTTTTTGAAAAATCCAAAAATATTTATAGTTTACAAACTATAGGCGAAAAACCAAACACCATGTTTTTGAGGTGTTTAATTAACTTTTGTAATTTTTTTATGCTCTGCAAAATTTTTCTCCACACATTGATCTAGTCATTATTCCGAATCGAATGAGCTATTGAACATAATTTTCGTAATAGTATGTCCCAAAAACACGCTTTTGAACTTGTTGATTAGACTAATAAGGTAGCAACGAAAACCTAGTGTCCGAGCATAAATGAATTCTAGCGTATTAAGTAAATAGGCTGGTTTTTAAAGGGCGTTTAATAGTAAACTGTAATAGGGCATTTTATTTTTGCAATTTTAAAACTGCGTTTTTCGATTTTCTCTGAGATGCTACTCTCTTTGTGAATTATATCTAGGTGTAACAGTAATACTGAAATATGTATAATTGTGAAAAAACTTTAACTAATTCTGGCCTGCACTATACAAGTCGATCAACTTTAACTCTACAATTTCACCCCAAAATTTAAAAAAAATACACAAAGCAACTAAAAACAAACTTTAATACAGGGTGTTTCATAAGGAATGGTAAATATTTTAACCATAGGTTCAGGAACAAAAAATATTAATATTTTGCGTAACACTGAGTCAGTCACATGTATCTACTTCGGAGATACGGGGAGTTAAAGTTAATATTAATTTTTCATTTTTTTTAAATATTTTCGTTATTATTTAATGTACAGTGTGAATAAAAATTAATTAGTAGCTTAAACTTAAAAATGGCTAACAAATAATAATTATTTCTCATTAAATAAAATTTATTGCCTTTGTTTAATGTTGTCAGAAGCTTTATCAGAGAATTCTAATTTTAGAATTCTAGCCAATAATTTTATTAACTGGAATTTAAGCACTATATTGGTTATCAATTTTTAAATAAAAGCAAATGCTTGATTTTTATTTACACTACCCTTCCAATTGAAATTTGGTGCCTAAATGTTTGGGCTAGAAAATCGAAAACATGATATCAATTTTGAGATTGGACAAAGAATGCCACCTGCACTCTACTGGATGAAGAAAATTATAATTTTTTATTCTTGGCAAGTCTTTATTATAAATGTAAATTTGAACCAAAAATGTTTACTTGGTTTATTAGAGAATAGCCAAACATGGAATATGTTCCTAAAATGGAAAACCATTAAATTATTTTAACTAGCTTTGGCAACGCCCCGCTAATCACATTTATGATATTACATTTTATCCCCAATAAACCAGTAGAACGCAGGTGTGTATTAATAATAATATTAGTGTCAGTCTCATTACAGATTTAGGTTAAAAACTTTCAGTGTTTTAGAAAGGTATATTATAAACACTGAAAGTTTTTTACCTAAATCTGTATTGAGATTTAAATTTTGTCATTGTGAACCGCCAATTTAATAATCACGAAATGTCAATGATAAGTGTACAAAGGGATTATCCTACTTTTTATGCAGAACATGTGTTTACACATAACATAAGCTCTTTACTTCTGAACTGAAAATTTAAATAATATTAGGAGTAATGTGTAAATTAATAAAAATTAAAATATGGCGATGTACCTAATATGAAATGGTTAAATTTGAAACGCAAGTAAAGGATACCACAAGTTTCCATTTGAAATAGGCCAGTGGTAAACACTGACTACACTGCAAGTTTACGGGGCAGAAAATAATTATTTTACGTGCATAAAAAACAAGTGGTGTTAAGAAGACATTCTGAATTTAATATTGTTACCCTGCACCCTGTAGTAGCCTGCGGCTAAAAGTACGAGTAAAAGAAGAAGATAGAATATTTCAGAAATGTCTGAAAATGTCATTCCTTGTCAAGAAAAATATAGGCAGTTCGAGAAGGTATATAAGACAATGATCCTGACGTCAGCGTTCAGTTTTATGATAGACCTTATACGTTCATGTTATCAGTTGTATAGTTATTGTATAAGTTGAGTTGCAATAAATTGAAATACCAAAAAACTGCGTAACAATATGTACCAAAAAACAAAATGATATTCCATATTTGGCTCACTTTATAAATTCCACCATTTTTGTTTTCAAGCCTATTTTGTTGAAGTAAATTAAATAGATTTTGTGGCTAGCGTATTTTAAATGCATTTTTTTAATTAGGTTGAAGGTATGCTAATAACACAAGTATTATTGTAAAATCGAGACCGACCCTGTTCTTTATTTACCTTTACCGCGCCGTAGAGTCTGAAGTTGGCCATCGAGATCCGACTCGTGCTCGACACTCGACTCGAATGTTTTCTTTTACAGTCCAACGCATGCACGAAAAATTTCCAGAACTTCTAGTCAGGATTTAATCTTTCAGGACCAGTGTTTCTTAAACTTTTTTGGCGACGGAACCTTTCTGAAAAGCGAAATATTTGACGGAGCCCTAAACACATTTCTAAAAAAAAGGTTCCCAAGCAAAATCATAACTTTCTTCCTTAGTGACTTCTAAAAAAAGGTCTTCAAGTCAGATCCCTACCTACCCTTTCGCGGAAGTGTGTTGGCAGTCGTTCAGGAGAACATTTTGGTACTGACAGGACACTGGCACGAGTTCATAGTTCATAACAGTCAATCGATGATCTAATCAGTGGAAGTATTTTCACTTTTTTGCAATGCCAAATCTGCTTAATCTTAACGGCAAGATCCGCATACTTAACTATCTTCTCCTGATATTTACTGAGTATGTTGTGAGTGTTAGGTACCATTACATATCTGGTCTGTTGTTTGTCACCTGTCTATAGGTGATAATGGACCTATCGTATTAGAGTCTAAAGTTGTCATATTCAAGCATCTTCTGCGGCTAATATTTATAATACGGTATATAAGTGTTAATACCGAGCTTGTTGGCTAGTTTCTGGTGGATAATGTTGCATACTTGATTGTCTATGCAGATATATATATATATATATATATATATATATATATATATATATATATATACTGAATAGTTTCTGATGTTTGTTGACACTTCCTGCATTTTTTTTTTTGACAAGGGGGGTAGCCATGTGTGAGTTGAGGTAATTTTAAGGTGAAGGGGGAGAAAAAGTCCTTTATATCTCACAAGGAAAGTCAATGTTTAATTATTTAACAAAACATTGAGTTCCCTAGTGGATGGAGAGTATGGCGAGCCTGAAGATGAAGTGATGACACTTCGAAACCGGTCGCACTCAATGTTTTGTTGAATAATTAAACATTGACTTTCCTTGTGAGATATAAAGGACTTTTTCTCCCCCTTCACCTTAAAAAAAAAACTTCCTGCATTTGTCTGATTGGGTGTTGAGGTTCTTAATGACAAACTTTTTGTAATTATTCGTATTGATAACCTGATCTTGAATAGCGGTCTTAAAACACTCGCGTTTTTAGAAAATGATTAATTTGAGGCTTGTTTTTGCTGCGTACAGCTTGATATCATCAATGTTAAGAAGATGAAAAATTGTACAGTAAGTCGTTAAGCTGAAGTTTCAATATAAATGTTGTCAAGTAAAGATAAAATGTAAAAATAAATTAGTGTGCAGTTTAAATAAATTATAAATATACTTCTAATTAAAAAAACTATTTTTAAATTAACAACTTTTACAGTTTGTTTTTTTTTAAATTTACCATAAATTTTATAAATGCCGAGAATAAAAAAATAATTAGTGTTCTTTATCCTGCGTACCTAGGCGGCGCCCTATTTGTCCAATATAAAAATTAATAATATGTTTGTAAATTACCTACCGGCCCAAAAATATAACCATTCTTAATTTCAAGTATATACGTCAAATATTAACGAAAATATTTCAAAAAACAAAACATAAATGTTAGCTTTAACACCCTGTATCTCAGAAGTAGATAACTTTTGAACCAGTGTTATTTAGAAAAATGTTAATCTCTCTCTAAAATATGTACCATTCCTTATGAAACATCCTGTATAACATATTAAAATAAGAATACAGTACCAAAAATTCCAGATATTAATGTTCAACGACATTTTTTTAAGTAATTTTTCCTTAATGGGATATATCGCAAATTTAACATCCCTTGAAAATTGTTAATTTTTTTTTAATTTAAAAACTTTCAGATATCCATAAATTTAAAACATTTAGCAATAAATCAAAAAAATGTACTCAATAAAATCACCGTGAATCTATTTTTATGTTTTTTTTTTTTGGTCAGTTTTACTCCAGCTGTCAAAGGATTGACTTGACAAAAAAAAACTATATTGAAGAAAAATTAATATTTATAATTTACTTACTTGGATATTTATCGATATCATCACTTTTTGAGGCATATTTTCCAAAAACACCGAATAAAATTAACAAAACCAGTTGTATTAACATCAACGGTAAAACAACCTCTTTCGTACTCATATTTGTCAGTCTTTTTCTTAAAATACTACTTTTATATTCCGTCTGTTTATATCTCAGTACTCATTAGATATTTAAATTGAGCAAATTATTGTGTCAAAAAAAAAAAGAAAATAGAAAACCACAACAAAGTGATTTTCAATAATACAGTTGCACGAACACTGCGCGCTCTCTGATACAAGAATAAAATTGGTAGTAATTATTTCAAGGCAAATATTGTTCAATTAGGAAGTTAACAATTTGTACGAACTGTTTAGTGTGAATGATATGTGTAATTAACACTCTAAGAGAGAAAATTAATATGTCCCAGTAGAAGCAACATAAATTGTCTAAATAATACTACCTGCAGCTGTTTATGTTATATATTCACAAACCTATCTTCTATTTTTAATAAAAAAAAATTAACAATAGTTCTAAATTTATCAGTTAAATAAAATTTATTATCTTTGCCTTCAATACATTATATACAGGGTGGTCCTTAAGTAATTGTACATAGGAGTATGGTAGATTTCTCACTTTACGATTTAAACCAACTTGCTTTAATAAAATGTTGCTAATAAGGAATATACAGGGTGTTATAGATTAAATTTTAAGATTTCTTTTTTGCAATAACTTTAACGTTTTTGGATATTTATACATAAAAATTTGGAAATAGAGGTTTTTGGGCACGGAAAATAATAATCTGATACCTCTTTGATGTAATTTGTAGAGAACGCTACATTGGCTACATTTGTGGCATAAATGTGACCTAATTTTTTTTGCTGTTTAAGTTAGCGGTATTTTTGTAATAGAATATTAAAGTCACGTTATTTTAATAGAAGAAAAGTATACTTGTTATTAACCTTAAAACTTAACGGTTTACGATATAATCGCATTTTAGGGATCAGCTGCACGATTATTATTGAAAACATTTAAAAAACTAAGCTAAATAACATTATAACATTAATTGTATCACATTAAATGTTCGATATGTCCTCAATTATCATCGATGCATTTATCTACACGTTCCATAAAACATCGTCTCATATTAAACAACATCATTGCAAAAAAAATCTTAAAATTTAACCTTTAACACCCTGTATATTCCTTATTAGCAACATTTTATTAAAGCAAGTTGGTTTAAATCGTAATATTTTAAAGTGAGGAATCTACCATATTTCTATGTACAATTACTTAAGGATCACCCTGTATATATTGAGATGTAGCAAAGTATACGATAAAATATGTAACAAGAAAACGATAAAAACAAAGATAACCTAGATAAATAAAATTAAATCAATTATTAAGTAAAATAAAGTATTACCTTCATATGTAAATAAATCCCAACTACAAGAAAATGTCCTGATTAATGCTGTGTACTGTTGGTTTATTAAATAAGTATTTTCCTATAAATATTTTTCTTTTATTCGTACAATTATTTGTACAAATTTCAACTTTTAAACCTAAAATGAATTTGAATAATTTGTAAATTGATAAGAATTTAAAATGACACCCTGTATATATGAATTAAAATTAATAATAATGACATCTAATTTCAAAGATTGAATTGACAGTTGTGTCAACATAAATAAATAAATAATAAATATTTAAAAATATCTATATACTCGTATTAATATAAAATCAATGTAAACGTATTAGAACAATATATATTAATAAATTATAAGTTATATTCTTACTTAACTCGCCTTATTTAAAGCTAGATCAAAACTGAAAAAAAAGTACTATTCTTATTGGTCAAATAGACTTTATGGATATTTGTCTAAATTTGTAGATCGATAGTTATTTAGAAAACAATTGCAGGGGGTGAAGAAATTTTTTGAAAGTATCCATGTACAGAATTTATTCTAAAAAAAAGTAAAAATTTGGTAAAATAATGAAACCAATTATAATTAACTGATAATAGTAATAAGTATAACTTATTTATCTATATTGTAAGTAAAGTTTAATTATCTTTAAAAATCAATGAATAAAAAAAACTACCATCCTATTAAATTCGTTGTCAAGACAACTATTTTTTTTTGTGGACAATCTTCACGAGGAATAGTTTGCTTTGCAAGAAAGCACACAACCGGATCCAGACCAGATTAAATATTTGGAGTTTATTGTTTTTAATGGACTTGTCGCCAGGACAGTAAATGATGCTTAAAAAAAAGAAAAACAAAGGCACAGTTTAAAATTGAGTTTAAATAATTAATTTCGAACATAGTTAAAAAAGAATTGATCATAACATAACCTATAATTATTGTATATTTACCTTAAAATCTTGAAACAATGAGCCATGTTCACATGTGAGATATGCTGTTTTATAAATTATATTGTAACAGTTAGTCGCTATACAAGTTATTCCTTATAATCAGTTTGTTAAAAAAACCAAAAGTTTTTAAATTAAAACCAATTTAAATTTAAAATTTGAAATGTGTACGTCATCGGGAATAGACCAATCAGCTTGTATCGTTTTTTGTAAGTTTTTTTTGTTATACAAAACCAAGCCAAAGAAAAAACCGACACACAGAATGTCGAAGTGAACGCACATCTAAGGCCCGTATTTATAAACAGAACTTACGTGAGTCGGACTTGGGTAAGTCGTCCTTAAACTAAAATCGAAGTTCGGTTACAACGTCTCTAAAGTTCTAGGTGGTTCTGGTGTTTGACTGGAATTTAGAGATGGATATTAGCAAATATGTAACTGTTATGTACATTTACGGATTTGTTACTACCCATCTCTAAATTCACACAATATAACCGAACTTCGATTTTCGTTCAAGGACGACTTACTCAAGTCCGACTCACGTAAGTTCTGCTTATAAATACGGGCCTAAGTGACACTTAAAATTGACACCACCTAACCTAACATTCATTTTTTGTTTTATATACATTTTTCTCAATTATCGATTTATTTTTTCTGTCTTTGCTAATTGGTTATTAATTAACTGTTTTGTTAGTTTTATTTGGACGTATAATGGTGATTTCCGAGTGTTCTTTTATGAAATCACCATTCTACGTCCAGATAAAACTAACAAAACAGTCATTATACCAACTATTGAATACCAAAATAAAATGCACACATTACTAAGCGACACAAACACATATGAAAATATACCGAATGACCCAACAAATACATACCAAACTAAAAACAATAAACTAATCACAAACTGGGAAAAAAAATACATCCCAACAAATATCGCAAAATCTTTTCGAGTATACAACACACACCCGCCATCCATCTATGGATTACCAAAATTACACAAGACAAACACACCCTTACGGCCAATAGTATCATGCATACAATCCCCATACCAACTAACTTCAAAATTTTTAACGAACATACTAAAAAATGTAGCAGGTAAAAGCCAACATCACATTAAAGACTCATGGCAATTCAAAGAAAAAATCTCGAATATACATGTACCTGACAACCATATTCTTATATCATTAGATGTTACCTCCTTATACACAAACGTACCACTAGATTGTAGTAAACAAATAATCGAAAAACTATGGCCTGAAATAAAAAAGTTCACAGACATACCTCTTAACGAATTTCTAATAGGCTTAACCGACACACTCACATCTACATATTTCACATTTAATAATCAATATTATAAACAAACTGAAGGCTTAGCAATGGGAGCACCAATATCTAGCATCATTGCCCAACTGGTCATGGAAGACTTAGAACAAACACAACTACAAAAATTAAATATAAAACCTATTTTCTATTTTAGATACGTCGACGACTGCATTTTACTTATACAAAAAACAGAAACCAACAATATACTAGACACATTCAATGCTTACCACCCAAAATTACAATTTACTATCGAGACTGAAAACAACAACTTCCTAAACTTTCTGGAATTAACTATACACAATAAAAGAAATACATTAAAAACTGAATGGTATACAAAAGCTACCTGGTCAGGACGATACTTAAATTTTACATCCAAACACCACATATCCCAAAAAAAATCAGTCATCATAGGTCTAGCAGACAGAGCTATCAAATTATCAAACCCTGAATATAGAAACATAGCAATTAAAAAAGTCAAAGATACACTAATACAAAATAACTATCCTATAAAACTCATCAACACAATAATGCAAAAACGCATCTACAAATACTATAACAACCAACAATATAACAAAGACAAAACAAATGCCAAATATATCTCAATACCATATGTCAGTGGTTTATCCGAAAAACTCCAACACATAGTCAAACCTTTTAATATTGAAATTGGACATAAAAATATAGCAACATTATCACAAAATTTTACAAAACAAAAAAACAAAACCCCACATAATAAAAAAACCCACACAATCTATCAAATACCATGCAAGGGAAATAACTGTGACAAAGTATACATAGGTCAATCAAAACAATACGAACTCACAAAAACACAAAAAACGCACTAACAGCTCTAGGGAAACACAAACTCGAGACAGGACACGAATTTGACTATAACAATGTGACAATACTCGATACAGAACAAAATTTGAAAAAACGCGAATTTCTCGAAATGATACATATAAAAAAAAATGTTAATACCATCAATGATCGCTGTGACATCCAATATTTAAATCAAATATACTTCAACCTATTATAAAACTATACTACTTAAAAGATAACTAATAACAAAAAAATAAACAAAATAATAATAATGGTAATAATAATAATTAAATTAGTAATAATAACAACTTATAATAATAATAATAATAATAATTAAATTAGTAATAATAACAACTGATAATAATAAGAACAATAAAATTCTTGTACCAATCATTACCCTAACAAACCAAACTATAAAAGACACAAAAAAATAAGAAGAAGAAGAAACGACAAATGACATATGTCAAAATAAAATAATTTTCAACCTGTCACTTGATAATCACACCGCATGGTAGCAAGTTAAATACAAAAAAAGTAAAAACCAAATAAAAAATTCTATTCTTTTTCCGGACCTTCATGAGGGCCCGAAAGCGAAAAAAGGAGGGTAACAACACCCTGACTACCGAAAAAATCATAACGGACACAATAGCTAATACTGGACACGGAAAAAAAAAGGACAAAAATGATACAATTTCAATCACAAAATAATATAATTAAAATAAATAGGATCTAACAAGATCTAATATTAATCACATACCCCATAATAATGTACCACAGGTAAGCC